ACCTTACGTCTCTCGGGCCGCAAAATATCCCCTGAGACGATGACACCAAACTTGTCCTTTATTAGGAAATTAGGTAGTACTTAAACATTTTTTAATAAGCTTAAATTTTCAACGAAATTATGGACTATTAAAAAAACTAGTACGGTTAATAATACTTATTAGTTTTTATTATTTAACGTTTTTTAAAAAGTTCCGATGGCATAGCACCTGATATAATTATCAGCTGAGAAATCATCTGACGTATCATCTGAAATTTTTTTTTTTATCAAAAGGGATAAAAAAGCAAGTATTCAAGATAAGACACAATTAAAAATTTTAAGGTAGTACCATGATTAAGCTCTCAAGAGTACTGGTCTAGACAATATTCATGGTTGAACTTTTAACTAGTTAATTTGATTTGAAGTATCTACAGCAAAACAAGATAACTAGACAAATCAATTAGTTAATAAATTGTTGAGTGAATAAAACTATTCATGATTTAAGATATTTCTAAATAAAATTATATTTCAAAGATTAAAGATAAACAATATTTATTTTTATCTCATACATTTTTGAGAACGATAAAAAATAAAAAATTCTATTGATGTTCTCTTTTAATTACTACTTATTTCACGTTGTAACATATAAATCAATGTGACTAATAGAACATTGTTTTAAAAAAAAAAAAAAAAGTTTCTTATGAAATTTCCGAATTAAAAAAATGATAGTTGTCTTTTTTGTTTTCTAAAAACAAAGCTTATTAAAAAATGTTCAAGTGCTACCTGATTTTTTTTCGAAAAACAAATGCAAAATTTCGTTAATTACAACAGTGTAATAATATATATTACTGATTATTTCTGTTGTAACTGAGCTCTTCACTGTTGATTGTAGATATATCTAACTAAGTAGTCCAAACAGCTAAAGAGAAAAAACAGAACACTGATTATACAGGAGTAATTGCAAATGGTCTTAGAGGTTGTCACCTAAATAGGCCCTTCAAATATCCGGAAAGTATGAAAACCGTCGTCAGGGATCACATTAATCAATTTCCAAAAATGGAATCACACTATTGTCAGGAAAACAATCAAAAGATGTACCTTGAAGAAGGACTGTCGATAGCAAAGATGTACAGAATGTACGTTGATGAAGTTGCGAAGAAAGATGCTAACGGAGCAATTGTTGACACATCTATTGTCAGTAAAAGTCTTTACAAAAAAAATATTCAATTTAGAATATAATTACGGATTCTTCAAGCCTAAAAAAGACCAGTAAGTATTACAGAAATTAAGTATTTAATTGGTTTTTTAATTGTGCAAAAATGTTATTAAATTTTACCAAAACGTTCTTCTTATATTAATTTAAGACCTTTAAAATTTATAATACTATTTTAACAATCGCCTTATTACAATACATTGTAACGTTCGATATCTTACCTTTGAACGCACACACTGAAATTATTAAACAAGAAGGGGCATGAAAGGACAACGCCGAGGAATAGTGAAGGTAACTGGTCACTATGAACTCGACTTAACAGATCAAGCGAACCCGGAAGGGTGAAGGAATAACCCAAATAATTATGAATCGAAATTGGGGATAGAAAAAGACCATTGAGTTATACGTTTAATTTATATATTATCATTAAACTCGTCGTCTAAAGACCATAACAGTGATCCAAATTGAACGTTGGTTATACAAAATTACTCCGTTTTACCAATAAGGACGCTAATGGATTATAATTATGACAAACAATTTATTTATGAAACATTTGCGTTTCAAATATTTCCAAAGATTATGAAATAGTTAATAATGATGTTAATCAACGCATGAATTAAAAGGAAGAAAGAGATTTATACGAAGTATTGTAAGGCGCGCAACATATGACTGCTAACAATAACTCGATTGGAAAGAGAGGCCTCGTAGCCTTCTAAGCAAGGGAGTCAAAGTTAGAGTGCCAGGTCTCTCTTCTAGCTGCAACATGAAACCTTGGTTATAGGGCGGCATATGAATCTTGGCTGTCCTTGTTTATAATACTGATGGGCCAGAGAAAGAGACAGGTAGTCGCTTCAAGTCACATATTGTGATTCTCCCATGTAGTGCTAGCGTTAGGCTCGGTGACTGCGGCGCGGGCGACGGTACGGGATGTGCTGCGTAGCAAGCTCCCAGAAAGTTACCTACTTGATGCGCGAGTGCGCTTGATATTTATGAGCGCCTAATTTTAAACTTACATCGTAACAAACCAAAAAAATGTATCCATTTTCATGTAGTTATGTAACCGATGGTCACAACATGATTAAATTAATACAAATACCTTTTACGAAGATATAAAAAAACTCAAAATTTTAATCCTGGTTTTCCCGGAGATCGTTCTTAAACTAATTAAATTAATAATGGTAAATATAATGTAAAAAAATATTAAAAATGATATATTTTAAAAGTAAACTTGTTATTTAGGTGTGATACTTGTGTATCCTTTAAAAACATGTCAAAAGAAGTGTGAGTTTTTCGGCCGCGAGGGCGCTGGCTGCGCGGTCGTGTCCTGCCGAGTCCTCCCCCCCGCGCCCCGATCGCTCTCTCCGCCAAGGCGCTCGGTGCTGCGCGCTACAATCAATCGTGCTCGAGCCGACCGCCAAGCAAGACGTGTGAGCCACCACTCGCTCAACAAGAAGAAGAAGAGAGAAGAGGAGAACAAAGGAGACTACGACGCGACGTTAATGTGTTTATTTGCTGTCTCGCAGCCTGTATACGTTCCACTATCAATAAAGAGTATTTTTCCACAAAACACTGGTCCTTCGAGCCGGATCCCGTTGAAGTGAGGCGACCGGCGACCAGCGGAGACGCAGCAGGACAGGACGACCAGCTTCTTAACGTAATGTAAGTAAAGTGACAGCTTTTCGTGTGGGTAAAGCCGCCGCGGCCGCGAGAGTGCCCGCGGCCCGGAATGAGTTAATTGGGCCGCGGTCGATCCGTGTCGCCATATACGCGTGCCGTGTGGGGCATCCGCGTCACCCGTGGTGGTCGGGGTTGCCGTGGGCGGTGAGCGCCCGCGGTCCAGCTCTACAGCCCAGCCGCAATTGAAACTGCGTCGCTGGCGGCGTGCATGAACACGTCGGGACCATGGCCGCCTCGCTCGACCGCGGCGGCGGCCATTGTTGCTACGGTCCACTTGATGACCTTTGTTGTTTGCCGTGGCGGCCATTTTGGTCGCGAGAGACTCGTTCGACTAGGCCAAGGCAGATACGCCGCGCGCTTGGTTACAGCCAGATCGTCCCTAACCTACAACTTCAATCCCTCTCCCGCTCTGTCTCTACCGCTTTACGTCCGCTCGCCCTCCCCTAACTACTACTCAATTCTGTTTTGCCGACGCCACCAATCGATGGTGGCCCGGAGGCAAAATCCAGAACAAATATACAGCACGTGATCGTGCTTTCAGGTCAGACGACGGCTGGACGAGCCTGTACGGCTCCCAGAGCGCCCTCGCAGACGTTGTCACGCAGTTCGCGCTCGACGTGGACCGGATCGAAGCCTGGAGCCTGGGGCTTGTGGACGTGAGGCTAGAGCTTCTCCAGGGCTACTGGCATGATTTCCAGTCGAACCACGTGAGGTTGCTGGACGGCCCGCCGCCGGAGAAGCGGGGCCTCCTGGATCGATTGTACACGCGAGTGGAGGCCAGCTACATCACCGCAAGGGCGCGCCTCTACGACGCGAGGCTGTCAAGGGCGCCCCTCCCGCCGCCCACCGACGGTAATCCTGCCCCTTTACTGAGCTCAGGGCCTGCTCGTGGCCCTTGCCTGCCCCGGATCAGCATTCCCAACTTCTCCGGCAAGCGAGAGGACTGGGAAAGCTTCCGAGACCTCTTTCGCGCTTTCATCTACGAGGACAGCCATCTCACGAACGTTGAACGGCTCTTCTACTTAAAATCACTCGTCCAGGGGGACGCCAAAACGACGCTCGAGGCCATCCAGATCGCTGACGCGAACTACGAGACCGCTTGGGCCCTGTTGGAGGCACGGTTTGAGCACCGCCGCATTCTCGTACACGACCACATCACGGCGCTTCGCAACATTAAACCGTTGCGAGAGGAGTCGGCTCAAGGTTTGCAGGGTCTGTTGGACACGTTGGGCCGCCATCGAGATCAGCTGCGCACTCTGGGCCGTCCGGTGGCGGAGTGGGACGACTGGTTCGTTTCCTGTGCACTGACGGGGATGGACTCCTCGACGCGGCGCGCGTGGAAGGACGAGCTTGAGCGACTCGAGGTCGCAAATTCGGACGCCGGGCACGCCCTGGCAACCTTCGACACCCTGGCCGGCTTCCTGCGTCGGCGATGCCGGGCTCTGAGCTCCGTGGAGGCCTCCCATCCTGCACGCCAGTCTGCCGTGCCCGGTGCGCGTCCGGCGGTCCCTGCCTCGGCCGGCCGTACCTATCGTACTCTTGCGACGGGTGGCACGGTGTCGGCCTGCCCGGCTTGCCAGGGGTCTCACTACCTGGGCCACTGCGCACAGTTTCACGGTCTTGAGCCGCGCGCTCGGAGAGATCTGGTTTACCAGGCGAGACTGTGCTTCAACTGTCTTCGGTCCGGCCATGCTGTAAAGGCTTGTCCCTCACGCTCGGTCTGTCAGCACTGCCGCGAGCCACACCACAGTTCTCTGCATGACAGCAGCCGGCGCCGCGGGTCAGAGCCCGCTGTTGAACCCACGCCACCGAAGCTTCCGAAAGCGGATCCAGCGGCCGTGCCCACTGCCGGTCCGCCATCCGATGAGGCGTCGCGGTCCTGACTGGCAGTGTTGCCGACCGCGCTTGTCCGCCTGAGCGGGCCTCTTGGCCGGACTGTGACGGTCCGGGCCCTCCTGGATTCGTGCTCCTAGGTCACCATTGCTTCCGCCAGCCTCGCTCGTCAACTCAACGCTCCGATGGAACTCGCCAAGTTCAACATTTCGGGCGTCGGCGGCGACCCGGGCGTCCGTTCGAGGGCTCGTGCTTGACTTCGGCTTCACCTCAGGGAGAGCGAGCCGCCGACCACGCTGATGGCTCTCTGCCTCCCGCGGCTCGGGATTGTTTCCCCACGCGCGCCCCTGCACCCCGCTGTCGCTCGGCGCTGGCTTGACCTCGAGCCGCTGGTGGACTCCAAATTCGACACGCCACACGTGATCGACCTCCTCCTCGGTGTGGACGTCTACCATCGCTTGCTGGAGCCTGGCCAGATTCAGCGTGACGACCTCGTAGCTCAGACCACTGTCTTTGGTTGGGTCTTTATTGGGCAGGCCGCCGGCCTAGAGATGCCGCACGCCTTACCGAACGTCTGTCTGACATCTCAGGCCGACTCGCCTCCTCCTTGGCATCTTGAGCTGGCATCCCTGCTGCAGCGCTTCTGGGAACTCGAGGACGTTCCACAGGCCCACCGGCAGGCCCCCGACGACGTCGAATGTGAACGCAGCTTCGCTGACCATGGCCGGGCTGAGAACGGGCGCTACGTCGTGCACCTGCCTCTAAAGCAAGGGGGCTTGCAGCTCCTCGGTGATAGTTGTCAGAGCGCCCTGGCCTCGTTGACTGCTCTGCAGCGCCGGCTACAGAGAGCTCCCGAGATGGCCGTCGAATACACCAAGTTTATGGCCGATTATCTCGCTTTGGGTCACATGAGGCCTCTCACTAGCGCTCAGTTGGCCGGGTCGTCCCACCCCGCTCATTACATCCAGCATCATGGCATATGGCAGCATAGTGACCAGGGCCGAAAGCTGCGCGTTGTCTTTAACGCTTCACATCCAACTTCGAGCGGCTGCAGTCTAAACGATGTCCTCCACGCCGGGCCCCGACTTCAAACGGCCTTACCTCACGTGTTACTGCGCTGGCGCCGACATCGTATCGCCTTCTGCAGCGACGTTCAAATGATGTTCCGCCAGATCTGGATCGATGACCGAGACGTCGACTTGCAGCGGATCGTTTGGAGCGCGGACCCTCGAGAGCCGCCCACGCACTACCAGTTGCTCACTGTCACATACGGCGCGTCGTGCTCTCCGTATCTTTCCCTACGTACCATCCAGCAGCTGTGCGAGGACGAGGGCTCCCGTTGGCCCGATGCGGTGCCCGTTGTTATGCGCGACCGCTACGTCGATGACATTCTCTCTGGAGCCGATAGTCTCGACACTGCGCGACACCTCCGTGACCAGTTGATCGGCCTCATGCAAGCTGGCGGTTTTCCGCTCCGGAAGTGGGTCGCGAGCACACCAGAGCTGCTCGAGGATCTTCTGCCCGATGTTCGCTTGCGCCCCGCCTGGGATCAGCTCGGCGCTGAGGGCCTTGTTAGCGAGCTGGGCGTTGGTTGGGATCCCCCGGTCGATCGCCTTCGCCTAACTCCGGTCGTCGTGCAACGCCAGACTACGAAGAGGACCATGCTCGCGGCGCTTGCAAGCATCTTCGACCCATGTGGTTGGCTTGCGCCAATCACTTTGAACGCGAAATTGCTGCTGCAGGATCTTTGGCGGGCTCACCTCGACTGGGACGAAACAGTACCATCGTCCATGGTCCGGCGCTGGATGGACTTTGTGGCTGAGCTCCAAGTCATCTCCGGCTTCTCTCTTCCCCGATGGATCGGTGTCTCGCCAGCGTCCGACCTTCATCTGCACGTGTTCGCTGACGCCAGCCGGCGGGCGATGGCCGCCGTAGTGTACTCGCGGTTGGAGCGCCCGGGCGAGCCGGCTTCCTGCTACATCCTTTTGGCTCGCTCAAAGCTTGCTCCCATCCGCTCACTCAGGCCAGTCTCCGAGCCTGTCGCGCGGATGACGATTCCTCGCCTTGAGCTCAGAGCCACTCTACTCGGTGCAAAGCTGCTCCGATCAACCGCGGATGAGCTGGGTGTCCCCGATGATCGCTGCCACGCCTGGAGCGACTCTCAGATTGTTCTGCAGTGGCTTCGTTCCTCCCAGCCGACCATTAATGTGCTCGTCGACAACTACGTGGCCCAGCTTCAAGAAATATTCTCTCCGAGCATCTGGCGGCACGTCCCGACGGCGTCAAATCCGGCGGATCTGGCCACTCGGAGCGCCGACATGTCAGGTCTCCGCCATCAGCCTTTGTGGTGGCACGGGCCCTCCTGGCTGGTTCGTGACATCGGGTTATGGCCCCCGGAGCCCGTATCCCGACCAGCGCCGGCTCTCATCAGTTGCTGCACCGTTCAACCGTCCAGCTTCGACCTGCTTGAGCAATTCTCCAGTCTCCACGTCCTAACGCAATTGCTCGTTCGTGTGCGGCGGTGGATTCGGCGCCGTCTCCATCGCGAGCCCGCTCTCCCCGTGCTCTCGCCACCAACGCCGACCGAGCTCCACGCCGCTTTCCTGGCTTGTGTCCGTCTGAGTCAAGCTCCAGCATTCGAGGCGGAGGTTATTCGACTGCAAAGGGGTGAGCAGTTACCAAAAACAAGCCCGCTCACGGCCCTCTCTCCGTTCTTGGATACCAATGGGATCTTGCGCGTCGGCGGGCGGCTCGCACATTCGTCGCTGACCTATGAGGAGAAGCATCCGCCAATTGTCCCCGGTTCCTCTCCTCTGGCTCGACTAATCATCGCCCGGGCGCACTCCAGAGCCCTCCACGGTGGCTTCCGGCTTACTAGCGCATATGTGCACCGGCAGGCATGGATTATCGGTGGCAGGACACGAATCAAGGCCCACCTGCGCCGTTGCATCGTCTGCGCCCGGCTGCAAGCGCGGGCATCCACCCAGCTTATGGCCCCTCTACCAGCCTCCCGGGTCACTCCTTGTCGAGCCTTCGGTCGCACTGGGGTTGATTACGCGGGCCCTTTCCACGTGCTCGCTTCGCGTGGACGAGGCATCCGGACCACCAAGGGATATATTGCGGTCTTTGTGTGCTTGACGACGAAGGCGTTGCACCTCGAGCTCGTTGGCGATCTCTCAACGGCCTCTTTTCTCGGCGCTCTCACCCGTTTCTCCGGTCGCCGTGGACGCCCGGCCGAGCTGTGGAGTGATAACGCCACTTGCTTCCGACGGGCCGACCTCGAGCTGCGCGAAGCTCTTCAGGACGCGGAGATTGACTGGGCGCTTGTTGCTGGAACGCTCGCCGATCAAGGTGTTTCGTGGCAGTTCATCCCACCTGGGGCGCCTCATTTTGGTGGTCTTTGGGAGTCGGGTGTCAAGTCGGTCAAGGGCCACCTCCGACGCGTCATGGGCTCTCGGCACCTGACCTACGAGGAGTTTTCGACTGTTCTCATTGGCATCGAGATGGTCTTGAACAGTAGACCGCTCACTCCTCTCTCCAACGACTTGGGAGACCTTGATGTCCTCACTCCGGGCCATTTCCTCATCGGCGCCCCTCTTGATGCCGTCATCCAGGCTGGGCCCCCATCGGAAAGGCTGGACACTCTCGCTCATTGGGACCTCGTCAGGGCGATTCGAGCTCAGTTTTGGTCTCGCTGGAGTCGAGAGTACCTGAACACACTCCAGCAACGACCGAAGTGGCGTACCCCTCGCCGGAACTTCGCCGTGGGCGACACCGTGGTTCTTCTCGACTCAACTCTACTTCGGACGGATGGGCGCTGGCCTCTTGGCCGCATCACCCACGTTCATCCAGGACCCGATGGTCTCGTCCGTGCGGCCACTCTGAAGACAGCCACCGGGGAGTACCTGCGGCCCGTCGCCAAGCTTGCATTGCTTCCGGTCCCTGATCTCGCTGAGACGCCGCCGTCGGCGACTGTTTCATCTGATGCCCAGACTCCTTCGGCGGGCGGCGTTTGATTGTCGCTCCGGGAGCAAGGCGGGCGGTATGTGAGTTTTTCGGCCGCGAGGGCGCTGGCTGCGTGGTCGTGTCCTGCCGAGTCCTCCCCCCCGCGCCCCGATCGCTCTCTCCGCCAAGGCGCTCGGTGCTGCGCGCTACAATCAATCGTGCTCGAGCCGACCGCCAAGCAAGACGTGTGAGCCGCCACTCGCTCAACAAGAAGAAGAAGAGAGAAGAGGAGAACAAAGGAGACTACGACGCGACGTTAATGTGGTTATTTGCTGTCTCGCAGCCTGTATACGTTCCACTATCAATAAAAAGTATTTTTCCACAAAACAAGAAGATCTAATTACAAATGAAGCTTCCCAAAAAAGACATCAGGAAAATAAAAACGAAGCTCGAAGACTAATGTCGATAGATAAAACCAGATCTATAAACGATGAAACAATATGCTGTGTAAATTATGTTCTCCAGGAAGTTCTAAGCACACCTCGTGCAAAATTTTCCATAATGTACTATTTGTCTAAACTCAGTGTTTGAAACTTCACTATGTATGAACTCGGCATATCAAAAGGGCACTCATTTCTTTGGAATGAGACAGTAGGAAACAGAGGATCAAATGAGATTGCTTCGTTTGTTTTCAAATTTATTCGATCTAAAGCTCGGATTTAAAAAAATAAATTTCTATACGGATAACTGTTCTGGTCAAAATAGAAACCAAAAAGTATTTACTATGTATATGACAGCAGCAAATGAATTAGATATCCAAATAGTTCATCGGTAAGACATTTATTTATGTAATTACGTATTTTTCAATAATTTTATCGTAATTTTTATCGTAATGTAAATCGAAATAAGAATACCCACTAATTGAATGTATCACAAGCAATCGATTTGCAATAAAAATTTCTGTGATTTACGTACAGTCCTTTTTAGGAAAATTATGAGTGCGTATGAATTTTTTCAATATTTTTTTCCAGACCTATTTTTCAGAAAAAAAAGCATATAATTCCACAATTTATTGTAAATTCTTATGGGGGTCTGTAATTAAATAGTATTTAAAATACCATTTAAGTAAAATAAAATTTTTTTTTTATTTCTCGTGGGTAAAACTAAATTAGTTAGAAATAAGCTATCTTATAAATAACTAGCAGCCCCCCGTCTCGGCTTCGCCCGAGGCTTACTAAATAAAAAACCGTAGTGTGTTGACATGTAATGTGAAACATTTTCAGTTAGAAATTTTACACATATTCCTGACACATCTCAGAACAAAAATCTTCGTATTAAAAACATTTTTTTTACGGAATCCATATAGTTTATTTGGTCAAACAATAAGGTGTAAAAATTCAAAATAATAATTATGCTGAAAAGTACCGTGCGTTCCTTATGCCATAAAACAATCAGTGACCATAAAAAGCCGTTGATTTACGGTTTCTCCTGTGTAACTCACGAAAACGGCTATTTTTTATAGCTGCTATCTTTTTTTTTCTCTCATATCTCACAACTTTAGTACCAGAGCAACAAAGTCCTGGGCCTTAAACCCTACATTTTTTTTGCCACAAAAACACAACTATATTTTCTACTCATTAAAAAATCTGAAGTAGGATCTTTAAAGATTTCAGAGATTGCTGTGAGGGTACAATAAAAAGCTGATCTCTCACGTAATGGACTCTTAAGTTGTCGGTTTTGACGCTGCTGTTTCAATCTCGATAAATTTTCTGCGTCAGTTTCTTGACGCCTAAGTAAAATTGTATTTATTAGATCCATTTAAAGTTTCTTTTCCAATCCACCCTCTTGCGACTTTTGGCATGCTTAAAATTTTTGTGGCCCCTGAAAGCTGTTTTCTGTCAAATTTGTGAGGTTCTAATATATTTGTTGGCAAGGTAGTTCAACGACCGATGGCCCTTAAAAAGATCGGTAAGCTTCTTAAGTCAACTCTTTCTTGACTGCAGTTAACAGCAATTGTGACTGCCTAGATACCTCAGGGTGATCTTCTCTGGCCTGCTGTTGAAAAACCCAGACTGATTGGGAGAAAAATTACAAAGTCCGAAGCTTTGGGGCTAGTTGTAGTGCTCTTTCCCAACCTCTCCCGGTATAACGTCGAAGACGTTGGTGTCTAAAGCACCTTTTTTAATTGCAGATTCAGTTGTTTTGGTGATCTTAGATGGGGAGATTGGTTAGTGATACTTGTCCAGTGGAGGCTGTCCCGTTGGCTCAAGTTTTTTTTTCCTTCATAGCTGTTTAAGGTTTGCCCAGCGCAGACCTTGGAGAGGATCAGTGATTTCTGGTTGAATGCTTAGAGTCGAGAGGGTAATATAGGGTCGTCGGTTACCGGGTTTTTCAGCCTTGCGAAGAACAACTCCGCAGGTAATGTCTGCTAGTGAATGGCTGACTTGGTTTAATAGTGCTTGTCTTTAGTTAATATAGTCTTTTCGTCGACGAATCGCTTCCGGAAATGGTAATAAAAATGTATTTGTTGGCAAGGTAGTTTACACTTAGGTAGCCCCTAAAAAGAACCAATGAAATTGATGGTCAAGTAGGGAACGTAAATACTTATAATGGCATTAAAAAGCGCCAGTGGTGAGCCATCCAGGCTATTCTTTATTATTATTCCTGATGATGAAGATCTGGCTACGGGTTGCTTGATTCTTACCCTGGGAGTCTCGATGTACGGAGACTGTGATGGAGGGAGGTACGCTGCTGACCCAAGAATATCTCGTCTCGGGTCGTTCCCCGGATAACCAACCGCTCATCGTTAGACGGGAACATTTGGGTAAGAGCGTTGGGAACGCGATGACCAAGAAGGTAGCCGTTGTGGATACCCGTGCTCCTTAGAGCTGTTTGCCCTTGCTTATATTTGTAGTCACAAATTTTCTAACTGCACCAGGTGTGATGGTGGGACTGCCACACAACTCTGAAGAGTTGGTGCAGATTGTGCTCTGGCTAGATATGTCTTTTGATATTGTGGCCGAGACGGCATCGGTTAGAAGTAATTTGGTTTTTTTGATAGTATTCGTCGAGATTCAGGGTAAATGTACACTTACGTCCCTTCCCCCTTAAAGAAGAGTGTCGTCCGTAACCAGGATACCAAGCTGCAAGACTGTCATCAGCATTCTCTATTTAGCTCGTTGAACTGCCGAACCTCGACTATATCACTATCGAGACGCTTCGACCTGTTATAACCACACTTATTGCATTATGTTGCAGGTAGCTTCGATTTTGTGTCAACACCACCTAGCGGATTTTATTGAACTAAAGTGAAAAGCTGGCGTATTTTTGAAAATCTTTGAGCGTATTCATTGCTATTGTTATTTAATTTTTAGAACGTAGCTCCTTATGTCGCGTTACTCAGGGGGCTGGAATTTTAAAACCAACAGATTTTTGTTTTTGAAACGAAAGTGTTTTCACCCGAAGTCTCTTTCTCTCAAGTCTCCCCCCCTTATCCCGTCCCCCTCACCTACTGTTCTCTCAATACTTCCCCTCTCCCTACTAAATATCTATATCTGCCAACCGTGCCGTGTTACTTTTCTGCACACCTTTGCCCACCATTTCCCCTCACACTCCTAATTAATTTTATTTTCTCACAATAATTTTTATTCCACTTTGAATTTTTTTCTTTTAAGTACAATTCTAAAAAAAAAGAAAACAAACATTTTCCAATACAGAGATTTGAAACCTCGACCTCCTGCATGTGAGTCCAGTACGTTACCCACTCTGCTACGAGCGCTGCCG